CCCCCACCCCCGCTAGAGTAGGCCCCCAGCCCCCTGCAAGCTTTAGGTATCCCAAAGGCTTCAGGAAGAAAAGTGAGCCAAAGCCAAAGCCAAGCCCTGGCTGACTCAAGAGTTTCATGTCCTATCCCCCTCTCCAGACAGGGCTTAGGGTTTCCTGCCCTTTTTGCAGAGAGCTCTTTGCAAAAAGTGGAAAATGTGCATGTTTCCCCATTAAAATAAAAAATTTGCATTTTTCCTCAGTGAAAAGGGAAAATCTGTGTTTTTTTCCTGTTTTTCCATGGGAAACAGAAAACCCAGATCCCTGATATCCAACGATTCTACATCCTAAAGGAAGACATGCTGGTGAGTTCATTAGAGCTCCTACCTTGTTGTCTTGTTTCTATGCACACACAAAAAAAATATGTTGAACCTACAGTAGGGACTGAACTACAGAAGGCAGCCATTTACTTTCATGCTGAATCCTACTAATCACAGATTTTCATTGATACATTTGATTAAACCCCTCTTCACATTTACCTGTCTCTATCACACACTCCTAGGCAAAACATGAAGTCAAGAATACTGGGGGATATTTTCTAAGGTACAAGGAATACCCTTTGAAAAAAAATATCAGTAAGAATTGGATCCTTAATTCCATTTTCACTACTGAAAATCTTCCTCATAATAAGAAAGTTTTAAGAAAACAGTTCAGCCACTTAATGACTGAGCAAATATCAAAACTGAGAGGCATCACCAAGACATTAAGTTTCAACCTAAGATGAGCTCCATCCAATAGAGGCAAGGTATTTATCTAACAATTACAGAAAGAAAAAATTATACATTACTACACAGGAACAGAGCTCTCTTGTTAAGCTTTAATGTACATAAGCAAAATTAGTTATGAAGAGAATCTTTTATTGATCACAAAAAGGCTACTTACCAAGATAAACTTGTGATCCCTCTAGTGTAGTTCCCCCCAAAGAGCTATTCATATGCTCATAAAGTTCCTGCAAAAGTTAAATTAAAAAAATATTAATGGCATATGATAGTTTCCCTTAATGGTAATATTAATGGCAAATGCCACCATCTGTTCTAAGAAACTACTCAAGGGACCAGAATCTATTTCACTGATATGGACAGAAGGAGGAGGAGGAGAAAAGGAGTTTTCCTCCCTTAGAAGGAGAAAGGGAGTTTTATTAAAGGGATTTTAAAAATGTAAGGCTAGCTATCCAAGTAGTTTTTAGTTCACATCTCTCTGTAAATTAGTCAATTGTTCCTTGCTCAGATTTATTGTAGGATAAATTATCATGTGGCTTAGAAGAGAAGAATAGTACAATCACCCTTTGAAAATGCAATATATAGATGAGAAATCACTGAGTAAAGAATGTTCATATCATATAACCTGTACGATAAACAAGGAGCATCATAATCTGCATGCATACATTGAAAGGTTACCTTAAGAATTGTGATTTGAGAGAAGTCTTTCTCTTCAAAATAGGCATGTGTAATGAGCTGTAGCTTTGCTTGGAGTAATCCATATAAGGGCTTGCAAGACAGACAAATAAATGCAGATGAAGAAATCACTTTTTGTAACAATTCCATTGTTTCTCCATTTTTTTTCCTTATCTTCTGTTATAAATAGATATCTCAACTCTAGGCAAAGTCAATTTGTGAAGATAAAAGTGTTCAAAATTTCTGGCTAACTGTTCTACTTTCAGTGTGCATATTTCAGTTATCTAGTGTTTCACATTCAGATGCTATATCACCACTTAAGATCCAGTTGGAGCTGGCTTGGGGGGGGGGGTGCCCCCACATCTGTGCAGGGCTCAGGGCACAGAGGGGGCTATAGGGGGAGAGAGAGGGCAAGGGCTGCAGTCACCCCAAAATTCGCCGTAGGCCTCCCATAACTCTCTCTCTCAGTGCTGCCACTGCCTGCTCTCAGTGCAGCCCAGCCTGGCTCAGCTCTGGCCCTGCCCCATGCAGATCTGGGGGCACAGGCCCTCCCTACCCCCCAGCCCATGCAGTACCAGACAAACAGTCCCCCGGACGAACCGCACCTCCATCCTATCCCCGTTCCACCTGGGAAACACTTGCCCCAGCCCTTGTCCCAGCCCCACTCCCTCCCTCACCATGGGGGACCTTGATCTGCTCCCCCACATCCCTTCCCTCCCCAACCCCATCCACCACAACAGACTTACCAGCTGCACACAGCTCTCCATGCTGCTGGGCTGTGCTCCTTGCTACCTACATGCTGCATTGTGGCTGCCTGCACGCACAGGCGTTTATCAGCCAAATTATGCGCCATATCAGGCCGATTTCAGATACAGACAATTTTCTTTATATTGGTGCTGATCCAATATTGGACCGATGTAACTGCACCTCTACTAATAAGGTCTAATACAACTTATCATATTCTACATAATATGCTGCATGAGCCACTAGCAAAAGTGTTGTTTCAGAGTTGGGCACTGTTAACTTCCCACTTTCTGAAAATTAATCAGTGTAGCATATAAACTAAACATTAATATAGAAAGCATCACAATATGCAGTTTGGAATAGGTAGTTTTTTGGGGGCAGTTATAAAAATTGCAAACCCATCACATCACAACTCCTAATGACAGATGCATACTTTTACAGTTTTCTTGTAAGCAGATGACACTCGAAATGTGTTAAAATTTTAAATTCCTTGGTCTTAATGCAGCTGTAATTTCAATGCTCACTTTGCCATCTTTAAGTGGTGCTCATTACAAGGGATTTAAATAATGTCAGGCAAATCATGTATTCCTTGTATTGTTTGCAAGTAAGGTTCAGTTTGTCATACTTACCAACTGACTTAGAACACAGACACTTTTTTGTACTGTTTCGCGTGTGATATCTGCTTGCCGTACTTTCAATGCCTAAGAAGCAAAAAAGTATTACAATAGTTTTACCCATATGCATTAAAAAAAACACTTTAAAGCCATCTACCTAAAACCCCCACTGATCAAAACAAAATCCATGATCCTTGAAGTACTGTTTTCAACAGCAGCTGAGGGTGTAAAGGGATGGGTGGGTGGGTACATAAAAAATAAACAGTAAAACAGTATCAGACCCTAAGGCAAGACGCTTTGCGAGAGGTCAACAATCTAATAATCACAGTTTCTTTCGACTCGTTGTTCCTAGAGATGGTGCAACTACTGTGGAGATGATTACACACAGTCCCTAGAACCAAGGACTATTTAAAAGGAGAAGGCAACAAGAGAAGAAAACAGGTAAAGAAAAAATACTTAGCTCTAGATTTGCCAAAATAAACCAGAATATATCCCCTGTCCTTCTGTGACAGCATACCTACCCACTGGGACCACGCAGGGAAAGCTTTTGCCTGGGAATAGTTTGTTTATTTCATGCTCAGGCATTTTCTTCTAGCCAACTGTAAAGAGAAAGTGACACCACCTGGGGAGTCAACTGCTTTCTCAGCCAGACCAAACGGTTCTAGTATTTAACAGCAGAGCTAGAAGGAGTGTGGGCAGAAACCATACAGCCAAGTGATTCACTTTCATTGCACAAAACAGCAAGAGTGTGGATTACAGCCCACACACAAAAAAAGCCAGATGGGTAGAGGGTTGAAGCTGTTACTACATAAAAGACATATTGCTTTATATTCCACTTGTTCCAAACAGTTCAATTTTAAATCTACTTATCCGCTTAATTGGTTAGTAAACAGCAGAAACTGGCATCGTGAGTGCAATAAAAAATAGCTGAAAATAAACTTCACAGTTAAGCAGAACAAGACTTTGATTACAGAATACTATAATAAGGGTTTACTGAAAAAATACTGAGAAAACTAAGTCAATACAAAGAACAAAATTACAATTATAAATTTATTGTGTAAAGTTGCTTCAAATGAGAGTTTCTTGAAAAATAATCAAGATGTCACAGGGATTAGTCTATAAATAAGAATATAGCATATGTAATTTGGGACTTCAGAATATGAGTCAATGAGAACTCTTCCTAAGCTATTAAACATTCAAAGTTGTGGCATATCATTGGGAAGGTGACATACATATTTCAAAATATATCTGCAAAATATCCTGCTAAGAATAAATGCACATATTTTATAATCAGGACTGGCTTCAGACTGAGTACATCATGATTTCCTCAATATTTAAGACTAAACATACTGCAAGTCTCTCTCATAGCTTCTCCCAGAAAGAAAAGGGAGAAGAAAATCTTTTTGCTGGCCATGCCTGTATTGGCCAGACCATTTGGGTTGAGGCTAACATCAGGCAGCCCCTTAACATGTAGCCAGCTCTGCAGGACATATGGTCACAGCTGCTGCATCCCTTGAGCCTCAGGAAGCTGCACATGGCCCCTGCACCACTGTGCCCTAGCCTGTCACAGCCCAGGCCAATAGTATCCTGCCCAGAGTCCCTGATGCACTGGTGGCAGCATAGCATCCTGCCCCTCCTCCTAGCCCCATGGAGCCATGGCAGTCAGTGACCATGGCATGGTACCGTGTCTCAGACTGATGGAGAATTTTGTGTGGCCCCTACCTGTGTTACAGCCTGCTCTGCTGCTGTGAAAGCCTTATGCTGAACCTGGGCCTGACCAAGCACATGCACTGCCTGCCCACTCAGAGCATCATTTTTGCCGCCCCCTACTATCTGCTGCATTAGGCAGCTGCCTGTACTGCCTCTACAGGTATACCAGCCCTGCATGCATGCATGCATGCATGCATGCATGCATACATACATACATACAATGGAAAGCCTAGGCTCAGGAGAATTTTGCAAAGGAAACCAAACCCTTCCCTGGATTGAAGGAGGCACACAGGTGCTTCATATATCTGCTCAAGAAGCTCACAAGAAATGTCTGAAGATCAAGTAAAGAATCCTATTTTCAGGCAGAGAACTCTTAGCCAGACTCACAGACAGTCAGTTTAGTTCTGCTTGTTAGGTCTCCTGCCTGGTTTGTTTCTCTGAAAACATAATGGGATGTGCAGGAATATAGACATGGACCAGGAAGTTCCCAGTTGCAGAAGGGAAAAGATAATTCTTTAGCTCTGAATTATCTGAGCTGCAGCTTCACAGATTTTATGGCCAGGGAGGACAATTTTGATCAGCTAGTCTGACGGCCATACAGTTTTTCCCATTGAATTCTGCACGAGTCCATTTTACTATTTTATATTTGCAACTGTAAGTTACCTTGGCTTCAATCTGCCTATAGCAAGAGACGCCATATACTGTAGTTTGCTCTTCAGATCTTGGTGGCAAGTGGAAAAAGACAGTATCTAAGAAAGAAAGAGAGAACAGTTTAGTTGCTAACAAAGAAACAGATCAAGGATCTGTATTTTCAGAAACCTCATCCTTTTCAATAACCTATTTACAAATTGTTTACTTCTAAAATTGCACTTCCTGCTGGGTTTAATCTTGTGTACCCTATGGTTTTATCATATCATTTATAAAAGAATAGACTTCTCTGTGTCCATATTCTTCCAGTAAATCAATTCACTTACTGTGTAAGGGTGCCAAGAGACCAACCTTTTCAATTAAAACTAAGGATACACTTCAAATACCCTTATGCAAAGATATACAGCTTTGTAAAATAGATCTGTCACAACCACAAAAATTTTATTGCTAATTTATTAGCTGGGAAAGCCAAAACAGGTTAGAAGGTCTCTTTTACAGTTCAAGGTATCACACATTTGTAGGAAACCTGTCTTCAGGGCAATTAAGGCTATTTGCTTATTTTCTAGTAAGTAGAACAGAACTGCGCTCTATAAATCTTGGGAAGTTTCTTGTAAAAGGTAAGAAGGCAGCAGCTGCACAGGCACCTCGGGGTGCATGGCAGAGAAGGGGACAGGATCGTGTTGCCCCAGGCCTCTGCCTCACCATGTGCCTCAAGGTGCACGTACAGCCATTGCCAGCCATGGGGTCAGGTGAGGGTTTCAGACCCCAATGCACTGGTTGCAGGCTTACTGTGAGCAGCCCAGGATGTACAGAGGGCAGCAGAGGCCTGCCCAGAGCCTGGGGTGCTTCTAGCAGGCAGTCACAAAGCTGCAAGCAGCTGCACCAGTCTGGAGCCCTAGTCTGGCTTGTTGCTGGCAGTGGCTGCATGCACACCTCAGGGAACAACACAGTGGGAAAGGGGCTAGGGCTGCACTGCCATGACAAGGAACAGGCTCCTCATGGCTTTGCCACTGTCTGTCCCTGGCAAGCCAACATCTTTGAAGTCCCGGTTGCAGGGTTTTTTGGCACTCGACCCAAAAACATTGCCATCTCACAATCTAGATGTTGCTAGTTGCTGGTACAGGTTTTGTTATATTCTACATAGATCCAGGAGGAAATTTGTAGAGTTTTAAAGTGCATTTCCTTTAATCCAATAAACAAAACTAAATTTTCCATTTTTCATACCATGTGCAACTTCTTTAAATGGAGGCTAGTTATAACTTGCACAAGGAAACCAAGCCCAATATAATCAGAATAAGCATATAATAATATTATTCTGAAATGCACTTGCTAATTCCAAATGAATTTGTATTGTGCTTCTGGAAATAAATCCCAAGGTTTTTACACCTGCTTCACTGCCATGCTAGCTTTGAACAGTCTCCATTACCTAAAAACACTTTCTAACAACATGTTGTTATGGTAATGCAAAGCCCAGCAAGACAACTATTTCAGTGTTGTGTGTGGGGTTGTGGCATGGAGCCAATGTAGAAGCTATTTTGCTCACCTCCTCACATTTTTCTGGTTTTGACTACAGTTAATATCTTCAAGATACATAACAAAAAAGTCAGGACATGCCAAATCAAGGATTTTTTCCTTCTGATGTAAATAAATTATTTTTGTAAACAAACACCCTACCTTGGGCTGGCACATCAACTCCCAATGAAATCCCTACAGAGTTAGAGTAGGGATGTCCAACTGATGGCCACAAGAGATTAATTTGCTGCCCCTAACCTCCCACCCAGCCACCACTTCCCCTGCTCTCTCATTGCTCCAGATGCAGCAGCATGTGGCAATGAGCAGGCTCCCACACAATATGGTGCTGGAACCAGGGGGATGGGATGTGCTGGTGCAGCATCCACAGCATGCAGCCCCTGCCATTTAGAAGTTAGAGTGCCCTAAGTTGGACAGCCCTAGCACATCAGACAAGGTGAAGTGTCATGCACATTTTCTTGTGTTTGCTTTATTGATATGGCATGTGTCATCTCACTGAAAAGAAAATACTACATTGTATTAATTTATGTTGCTCTTATCACTGCATGGATTATGTTATGCTGTCTGTATACATCTTTGTTTTTGGACATGGTTTAAATCAAAGGAACTGAGACATGCTACTTAAGGAAAAGGGAGTAGGTAGAACTGCTAAGTATCTCCTGCCATTGTGTTAGTAGGACAAGAATAACTGCCAGTCCCAAACAGCAATAGACAGGGCTATTGTTGGGACCAGCACCCAAGGTATTGCCTGCCTATAATTGGGGAGGGGTGGAGAATCAACACCCTCCTTAGTGAAGGCATCTCAGAAAAAATGGGCCACTAGCTAGAGGAATCCCAGATGCTTCAAGAGGAAAGGAATGAGAGAATTCTGAGACTCATGAGCAATTAAGACAATGCTGATGTGATGGAAGGCTGGGTTGTAGATATTTTAGGGGCTATGAGCAAATCATGGTCTTTGGTTTATGCTAGGCTTTGGGAGAGTCCAGGTCCCCAGCAATCATGACTGGCAGGATCAGAAGGAAGGCTGATCTCTGGAAAGAATGGCAGAACTCCAAGGAGAAAGTTCTGTAGCCAGATGAGAGGGTTACAGTCTTTGCGTGTCCTTTTGTTTTGTCTTCAAACAATATGGTCAGTGTTTCTCACGTAATTCCTTTCTCCTAAATAATAAATACTTTTGTTACTTTATCTCCTTACTGATTGCCTATGGTAAAGAATGATCTCGGTGGAATAAGGAATATTCCAGAGTAACCCATTCCCTAGAAAGGAGGACCTAAAATACTTTCACAACCCAAGAGGAAACTGCAGGGAGTGGCAGAGATTTCCCTGTTGCAGCTGTGAGATCTAGTATAAGGCTAGTGGAGCAGAGGTTTGTGGGGATAAGGAATTATCCCAGGGCAAACCTTGGGACAAGCAGTAGGACAGCAGGGAGAAACTTGTGACTGCAAGTACTCTGAGGATAGATTTGTGACACAGGTCTTCCTGAGAAGGAAGCATATGCAAAAAGAAAAAGTGTTTTAGTACAACATATTCCATTTTTCCTTTATGATTTAGGAATCTGTAACAACAAAAATGTTTACAGATATAATTTGCTACTAAACTTTGGCCAATCCCTAAATGGTATAAACATGGCAAAATTATTCTTCTGCTTCATATTGCATGTCACTGCTCTCCTAATTCCCCTCTTCCTCTTTCCACTGTACAGTTCCTAACCCATGCCATTTTGTAGACCGTCAAGCAGGAATCTAGACCACATTTTGAAAAATAAAGACCTAACTGAATAAAAGTGGGTTGTTTTATCCACATACACACACACATACAGGAAAAAGAGGTTATTCATTCTCTATCTCCATAAAGAACAATTCCCTTTCAAAAGATGAGGGGAGTACAGGCTGCTTATTTTGCTTTAGGAGACTCATAAATGAATCCTGTATTAAATTTACAGATGCAGGAGTGGGAATTTTGTATCTCTAGTCTACATCCTAAACACAAGTATTTTGATATGTTTCTTTTTACATATTCAATTTCTCATATAGCCTGTTCTGAATAAAATACAAAATAAATATTCCTAGAATTCAAGCAGTCAGAAGCATGGTGAACTGGTAACTGAAGTGTCAGGATCCTTTCCTCCCTGCTTTAGTGTTAAGCACACAATGTCCTCCACTATTGCAGCTCCTCACTCACTAGACATTCCTTTCTGGTATTTTACCTTCTTGATAGTTGTGAGCTCCATCTGGCAAAGCAAGGAAAGGCAAGTATTTCCATTCTTCGGGTAAACTGTGGCTATCGTGTCCTTCTCCTGGGATTAGGGGAGGATAGGAAAATTCAACCTGAAGAAAACAAACACTGTTACCAAACATAATGCACCTCTGAAATAAACTGTTAAGGCCAACATTCTGTGTATAGCAGTGGAGAGCACAAAATGCTTTTGAGAAAGATGCAAGAAGTTCTACTGAGATTGACTTGCCTATGACGACTGGCACATGTTCCAAAAAGCAAATAAGGGTGTATGAAACAGGCCATATTCAATTTGGATCTGGCCTGAATCAGGGACAGTGATTTGATTTGTTGATTAGGATCACTGTCCCAATTCGATTCGGCCAAATCTGAAGATTCAATGGTGATTCGGAGAATCAGTGATTTGGCCATAGATGCAGCTTGAAATGTTTTTTCTACATACCTTGAGGTACCAGGCGTGGCTTGTGAACGCTGTGATGGTGGGAAGCATGCCCCCCCCCGCATGCTCGGTGGCGAAACCGGAAGTACTTCGGGCCACTTCTGGGATCGGTACTCAGTGCCTTGGGGGGTCTCCCCCGGCTCGGCGATCGGCTGGGCCTGCAGACCCAGGAGGCACCAGTTGCCGAGCTGGCGAGGTGCAGAGGCCCCCCCTTGTGTGCTCTCCGGTGGACCAGAAGTGCTTCTGGTCCACTTCTGGGTCTGCTGTCAAGTGCGCTGGGGACCCCCCGTGCTCCTGTGGGATGCTTCATCTGTCCCAGCATCTCAGCAATTACAAGCCACCTGGTACCTTGAGGTATGTAGAAAAAACATTTAAAGCTGTGTCTATGTCCAAATCATTGAATCTTTCTGAATCTCTCCGAATCAATTTGGAGGGTTCTAATTCAATTCGGAGAGATTAAAGGATCTCCTGATTTGATTTGGATTCAGAGATTCAGCCACTGAAATCGGGCTGAATCTCCGCAGAATCAAATCAACGACCAAAGCTTCGCACAGCCTCAGCAGGCAACCTCTGGCATGGGTGTCAGAGCACGGCATGCAAGCCTCGGAGCCGGGGCCGTGCTGCCACAACAAGGATCAGGCCTCTCGGGGCTTCCCCACCTTCTGCCCTGGGCACACAAACATCTTACAAGCTGAGGTTGTGGGTGTTTTTTTGGCACTGTACTCAAAAATGTTGCAGACCCTTGTTCTGAAAGCATTTCTATCAGGTTTAAAAAAAAGCATTGGCTTTCAGTTAATTTGATTCCTTTTATGTTTTTGTAAAAAGAAATAAATAGACATGCAAGTTGGATGGCCTATCATCTGTCTTTATATCCATTTTTTTTCAACCCCTGTCCAAATCTTCTCTTTCTTGTCTTTTTTATCATCCTTATCCAGGTTAGTGTTTCCAAGGTGTATTAGTTAAAAAACACTGACTAGAGCCAAACAGGAATATTCAAGGTGAGGAAATTTCAATTGGTTAAGTGAGGCCTTCATAATATATTCAGTATTTTCTAATCCATCCTGTATACATCCTATCTTTTTGTTGACTACTCTTGTGAGCTGCAATGTTTTTACTGAGCTGTTTACAGTGATACCCAAGCTGCCTCCTTGAGTGGTTACAGTTAAGAGAGAATAAAGGAATATGCAGGGCATCTTTTCTTTAGATTTTTGTACTAAGATAGAATACAGAATCATGGATATAGGGAGGTGCCTTCAGAGACACAAATCAATCTGTTGGAGACTGAAAAAAAAAAAAAAAAAAAATCTTAAAATGAAAGAATGCTGCAAAAAGAGTAGTGACATTAACCAATCAAGTAACCACCAAAAAACCAAGATGGAATTTCTGCTTTTTGAAGTCAATCTTTGCAAGGGAATCATTTTTAACAGTATAATACATCTAAAGCTAATGTTTTTAGTTAAAAAACCCCCAAAACTGTTCTACCAAAAAACTAAACAAGTTCTTGAATATATTAGTAAATCAATTTGACAGAAAGACTGAAAACCAACCAAAAGTTCATATCTTAATAAAGGTGAATACTAAGGGAGAGTATAATTATTTCTTGGAAGATGTTCAACTGCTGATCAGTCAGCTGTCAAAAAAGCATTTTTCAAACATTATGAACTTCCATAGAAGGACATTCAAAAGAGGCTGTGAGAAAAATAATTCAATACAATATGGATGAATCAAATTGAAGAAAAAAACCCACCAAAAACCAGAACAGGAACAAACCCTAAAGAGCAATAAATATACAGGGGAGGGGAAAATAAAGGAGTGAAGAAATAGGAAGCAGTAAGGAAATAAAACTGAAATTCTTTAATCTCGCCACACAGTGTCAGCCTTACGCCAGATGTTGCTGTGTTGTGGCACATGAATATGGGGCAAGAAAAAATTATTACAGAAGAAACTAGTCTCACTGCAATTTCAATTTCAGGTTTGCTTATTCCTGACTCAAGCTCCAGATAATGTGCGTGTTGGGGGGGAGGGGGAGAAGAGAGTGGTAAATCAAAACTTCCTGTGGACAGAGGTTGCATAAACCCCGCACAGGAAAACCAGCCTACAAATTATAATTTTACATATTACAGGATTTCACTTGTAATCCATTTGCACTGAGAATGCATTCAAGATTATGATTTAGCTCAAATTCAGCTACAAGAAGTAGAAAACTACTTCCAAATGAAAAAAAGGGAGTAATAGAATGAAATTGTGTATCCAAAGTAGAGCAAATATCCGTCATTCAACAGACACTCATTAAGAGCTCATTTCCCTTATTCATCTTCCAAATTACAGACTAAAATAAGTGACAGCATCATAAACAGTGTTTCAGTATCTGCAATACAAAAACAGGGCTTTTAAAACCTTCAATTCAATTATGTTCCAAAATTATCTGAAAATAGAAACAATTTTGAAAAAAAAAAATATTACTGGAATGAAAAATATTGTCCTCTTGGCAACAGCTATGCCTATAGCAACGGATAATGTAGAAACAAAATATTTTAAAATACAAATGCCTGCAAAAAATGTTGCCCCTGGCAGGCGGACATACTAGATAAAGGACATCGTTAGTATCTCTGTCTGCTTATAATGAATTAATTTATTCATTTCAAATCAAAAATAATTTTAAAACTGTCTGAAGAATCAATGGAAAAGTTAGTAAATATCTTCAAACCCTACTTGAAAGAAAAGGAATAGATACATGGCATCTCATAATTTTGTATAATTTGTTTGCATCTGTAAGTTCCCCTTTAATATCGTACGTGCACCTAATTTGGTATGGGATACAATGAACTTAAAAAGCTATGCTAAGTAAATAAAAGGGGGGAAAAGTAGTTATACCAAACAACACTTTCTGATATCTAACTTAGAAGAGAAGTAGATATGAGCTGGCTAAACTACTAAACTTCTCTCCCACATTTTCTTCTGAATTGATGGAGATTACAATAATGGCTCCTCATTCATTTAAGTCTGTAATTATTCATCTCAATTTGATTAATTTTGTACAAACCTACAAGTATGTTACACAAATAATCTTCAGTTTCCTCACTTACAAGCAAATAAGTGACTAAACGTGTCTTAGCTGCAAACTCAGTTATAAACAAGGAAAGTGAAGATTACAGCAAGGATTTGTTTTGTTTTGAAATAAATTTGGGTACCAACAGAAACCAAAGGAGGAGATAATGTACCTTCTGAGAAGATTTTACAAATTACTTTTCCCATAGGCAAGCTAAACCAGCTCTCGGAAAGAAAATTAGATTATTATTGAATTCTACCGGGAGTCCCAGAAAAAGAAACCATAGACAACACAAAATAGATTCTCCACCCACTTTTTACTCTCCAAAGTCCCACAGATTTAAAAAGACTACAATTGAATATATGGTCAGACATTTTTGCTGGCAACATTATCTGCCAGAGCTGACATTTCCATGCTGTGGATACAGAATACTGATGATGGATTTTAGAATGAAAGAGATGAATATTGCAATTTGTTGAGGGTATAAACAACCATGTTCTTCATTGCACACACACTGCTGCTTTTTAAGGTTCCAATATCAAACGTATTAAGAGCTACAAACAACCGACTTAAACTACACAGAAGCAGCACTTTTGTTTTCTAAAATCCTGCTAAATTCACTATCCTCCTAATGGATCCTTCTGTGCATCTAATGCTTACTGAATTCAGTGGAAGTTCTGACGGCACAAGAGTGTTGGAGCATACCCCAACAGCGCAGTCAGCGTGCATCTCATTGTGAAGAAGTATTGTTTGGTGTCTCAAAGGCAGCGGTTCTCAATCTTTTTAGATTCAAGGCACCCCTTCTGAACTGTCTGGAATTTAGCAGCACCCCACTTAAAGACTCATTTATTTCTTGCCTCCTTGCATCATGCAACACCCTAAAACAGATTGCATGGGATAGCAGGGCAACACTGAGAGCAAGGCAGATGGTGCACAGTGCTCACAGCTGGAAAGGGGAGCTTGAGGATGGGTCATTAGACTCCTGAAAGAGGCAGCTGTCCCTGCAGGAGGTGAGAGGGATGAGAGTGGCTGCTAGTACCAGGGGAAGATGGTAGGGGCAGAACCCTGATATGCCCTGCTGCTTCTGCTGTTGGTAGCCTTCCTGCCCCCAGCTCTACCTGAAAAGTTGAGTGTAGCCCCTGCTGCAGCAGCTGTTCCTCTGGGGACTTGTGTGCCAGTCATGCCATTCTCCCCGGTCCCTCCTACCAACTCCAGGAGCATGGGATGAGCAAAGGACAAAGCCAGTTTGAATAAACACAGGCAGATCATGTTTCTAGGACTACTGGGGCTGTCATCACACAGGCTGTGCTTTTTCAGCATAGCTACTTTCCCTGCTTCTCTTGTGCTCCTAGAGCTGATGGGAGGAGTTGTGGCGAGTGCTGCTGAGATGCTGGCAGGTGCAGGGCACCTAAAAATTGGGGGAGCCAACGTGCACCTCTTCTCATAAAGGTCAGGAGCCAAGGCATCCTTCTAAGCTTGTGGCACCCTGCTTGAGAGTCACTGCTCAAAGACAGCTGATAGTTTTTCCGATATTAGCACAAGAGCATTTAGGAAATCTGGTCCTGGAATCATTCTGGATATAATTTCTTCTTAAACCACAGGTC